GAGGGAGAAAGAGAGGGAGAGAAACATCGATGAGTCGCTTCTTGTATGTACCCTAATTGGGACTGAATCCACAACCCAGACATGTGCCCTGACTGGGAATCAAACCAATGAACTTTCTCTTTGTGGGATGATGCCCAGACAACTGAGCTACCCTGGTCAGGGCTATAAACTTTTTTAAATTATGGAATTAACACATTAAGAAAAGACATAAAACTAAAAAGTGTGGCACAGAGATATTTATATTTAGAAAATCACTGTAACTACCACCCAGCTCAAGAAATAGGACGTTGCCAGCCCTTCAGAATCCCCCCTCCCCTGAGCTTCCTCTTCATCACTATCCTCCCTCTGATAATAGGGCTACCCTGACCCCTGGTTATTTACGTTCATGCTTTTTAAAATAGATTTACCACCACCTAAGTATGTGTCCCTAAACACTATATACTAGTTTAGTTTTGCCTGATTTATCATTATGTACAAAAGAATCACATGTTGAATTCCTATGTATGCACACTTCTTTTGCTAGCATTACATTTTTTATTCACCTGTTGCTGCTTGTAGCTATAGTTCATTTGTTTTTATTGTGTGCAGTATCTACTTTATGAATCTGCCAATTTTATTCCCATTGTTGCTGATAGTCAACAATGAGAATAAATTTTGCTGAATGTTGGCTGGTATGAATAGGTATGTATGTATTTTACATTGCTTTCTTATAGTTTGAGTAATTGTAGGAGTGGGATTGTTAGATCACTGGTAAAGCATATGCTCATTTTTAGTAGATAGATAATTCTACACCATTTCTCAGAAAGGCTTTTCAGTTCACAGTAGCCCTACCATCATTGCTTCACATTCTCATCAACACTTGATATTTGCAGACTTGAATGTTACTCGTTTTTATTGAGTATTACTATGGTATCACTTTTAAATTTTTATTTCCCATAATTATACATGAGGTCGAATACCTTTTTGTATGCTTATAGACCATGGATATTCTCCAGTTTTGAAATGTCTATTCTGCCCATTTTTTTTCTGTTGAATTATTGGCCTTTTTCTTATGGAATTTTTTCTTTTCTCTGGTGTTATTAAGATATATTGGCATACATAGCTGTATAAGTTCAAGGTGTACAGTATAATGAGTTGACATATATATTGTGAAAAGATTGTTACAGTAAGTTTAGTTAACATCCATTATCTTATATAGGTCCAAAAAAACAAAAGGATTTTTTTTTCTCTGTGATGAGAACTCTTAGGATTTACTCTCTTAACAACTTTAATATATACCATAGTGTTAGCTGTAGTCCTCATATTGTACATTATATCCCCAGTACTTACTTGTCTAATTATTTGAATTTTTTTCCTGTGACTCCCTTTATCCAATGCCCCCATCCCCAAACCCTGCTTCTGGTAACCACAAATCTGATCTATTTTCTATGAGTTTGTGTTTTTTCCTTGTTTCTACATATAAGTGAGATGATACAGCATTTCTCTTTCTGACTTATTTCCCTTATAGTGCCCTCAAATTTCATCCATGTTGCTGCAAATGGCAGGATTTCCTTTATGACTGAATAATAATTCATTGTATATTATATGCCACAGCTTCTTTTTTTAAATAAAAATACTCACCAGAGGGTGTGTATTTATTGATTTTAGAGAGAGGAAGAGGAGGGAAGAGAGGGAAACATCTCTATGAGAGAGAAACATTGACTCCTGTATGCACTCTGACCAGGGATTAAACCCACAATCTTTTGGTATATGGGACAATGCTCTAACCAATGAGCTATCTGTCCAGGACTATACCACAGCTTCTTTATCTAATCATCCACTGATGGACACTTAGGTTGCTTCCATGTCTTGATTGTTGTAAGTAATGGTGCTGTGAATGTTGGGGTGCAGATGACTCTTCAACATAGTGGTTTTTTTCTTCTGAATATATTCCCAGAAGTGGAATTGCTGGATCATAAGACAGTTCTATTTTTTAATTTTTTGATGAACCTTCTTACTCTTTTCCGCAGTGGCTGTACCAATTTACAATCTCACCAACAGTGCATGAGGGTTCCCTTTTCTCCACATTCTTGCCAATGCTTGCCATTTCTTATCTTTTTGGTAATAGGCATTTTAACAAGTATGAGGTGATACTGTGGCTTTGATTTGCATTTCTCTAGTGATTAGTGATTGTGAGCAACTTTTCATGTTCTTGATGCCACCTTTGAAAAAAATGTCTATTCAGGTCCTTTGCCCATTTTTAAATTGAATTCCTTTTTTTTGTTTTGTTTTGTCTTTTGTATTTTTTTCTACCGAGTTGTATGAGTTCTTCATATATTTTGCATATTAACCACTTATCAGATATATGGTTTGCAAAGTTTTTTAACCATTCCATAGGTTGTTATTTATTTATTTATTTGCTGTGCAGAAGCTTTTTAGTTTGATGTAGTCCTACCTGCTTATTTTTTATTTTGTTTCTTGTGCCTTAGGTGTCATATCCAAAAAATTATTGCCAAGATCCAATGTTAAGGAGCATTTTTCCAATGTTTTCTCCTGGGAGTTTTATAGTTTCTAGTTTTACATTTAAGTCTTTGATCAATTCCAAGTTAATTTATGTTAATAGTATAAGATAGGGTTCTAGTTTCATTCTTTTACATGTGAATACTCAATTTTCCCAGCATCATTTATTTGAAGAGACTGTCTTTTTTCCATTGAGTATTCTTGGCTCCCTTGTGAAATATTAGTTGGATGTAGATGTATGGGTTTATTTCTGGCCTTTCCAGTCTGTTCCATTGGTCTGTGTGTCTGCTTTTATGCCAGTACGTCACTGTTTTGATTACTATAGTGTTATAGGTTGAAATGAATACATGTTCTTTCTCACAACTACTCTGCAGTGTCATAATTTCAACAACTACTTATCCATATTTACCTACATCTCTTTTTGTGCCAATACAACTCTATCTTAATTACTGTAACTTTATTGTAATTCTTGATAGCTGATAGGAAAAAGTTTTTCCACCTTCTCCTTGTTCTGCAGGGAGTACTGTGTGCTCTTGTGGAACATGTTGTAAAGGAACAGTGCATATAAAGAAGACATAGTGGTGTTAACTTTGTAAAGAAAAGGCATTATTAGACTTCACTGGACTATCACAAAGAGAGAAAGAGCCTGCTCATGTGTAGGATACATTGTGAAGAAAAGGTGTACAAGCGGGAATGGGTTGAATGAGGAGGCACGTGGAATGTTGTTACTCTCAGTTTAGGTTTGACTATATGTTATAGATGAAAGATGAGTGGCTTAAACAAATTAGAAATTTATTTCTTATGTAAAAAATGTTTGGAGGTGGTCCTCCAGGGTCAATTTGATGGTTCATCAAAGTCCTGGGAACCAGTTTTCTTACATTCTTACATCACTGCAGTGTGCCCCTCATTATTCTGGCTCAGGATGGTACCAGGGCTCTACCTGTCACAGATATATATCAGGCAACAGGATGGAAGAAGAGGAAAACCAGTGTGCATTTCTCTCTGCTCATTTTGAAGAAAACTTTTTAGAAGTTTCACCCAGCACTTCTGTAAACTCCAAGATACAATTTGACCATTCTCACTAATCTTCAGCTATTAGTAGTTCCCTGCTTAAGCTAGTCCTGGTTAAGTAGAAGACTCACCTTGGATTAAATGTTATGGGAACTATGTTCTGCTCTTGTGTTTGCTGTGGCATTTTTGCATTCACAACACTTTGGAATGAGATGTCTGCTTTTATTTCAGTTTTGACCCTTCTGAAAACAAGACTTCTGCTTGCTTTTAATTTCTCCAAAGGAAATTGTCTCGAGTTCCTCAAGTCCCTAGCCTAAGTATCCTTTCTGGTACACAATAAAGAGCAGAAGGAAAGGGAAGTGCCTTGTGATGGTCCTCTTTCAGTCACAAGTTCCTTAGGCACTGTTTCATGATCTGCTGCTATGAATCTGGGCAGTGGGGACACAGATGTGTTCAGTTTTGCTTTGTGAACATTTATTAGGATTTCTACATTTTCCTTTATATGCTTCACTTAAATAAGCAGGTTTATAAGAAAGTTACTTAGAAGATTTTGTTCCATCTTCCCTTTTGCAGCATGTTACTGCTATTAACAAGCACCTGGTTGCCTTAGAAACCACTACAGGCTTTACAGTCTGGCCTTTAATACAGACATCAGGCAAATTCAGCACTGCATAACAGTGCTAAAGAAAATACTGAGTGACTTCCTCCTAGTAGCACTGGAGAGTTTTCAGTGTGGATCAGTAACAGGGAGCTTCTGGTGATCTTGGCTAAGGAGTGATGAATGTGAATTTTGGATGTTTTACTTAGTAATGGATACCCAAATGGCTAGCAGAGGGAAGAGACCAGAGGCAGGGATATCAGAGAAGAAATGGATTCTCAATCTTAAATGAAGGAATGCCTGAATTAGACTAATTAAGAACCAAAATTACAGATGAGAAGTCCAGAGAAACCAGATCTAATGGTGTCAGAATCTTAGTGTGGTTGTGAATGGAGCACCTGAATGGGCCCAGGATCTACAGAGAGATATTGAAAGATGGTGGATCAGTAGGCCCCTCTGCCCTGCCTGTCTTTCCTCCTGTCATTATGTAAAGTGGGCATGGGGTTGGAAGAGGGGATTGGGGAGGGAGTGGAATAGGAGCAGCAAATACCTTAGATAAAGAAAACCCTTGCAGAGCAAGACAGCTATACAATGGTATGTAGGATGTTCCATAGTATAATGAAAAATATGAGAAGTTTGAAATCAGACCCTTAGCACTTCAGACCTAGAAGTCCTACCAATTTACCAGTTTAAAGAAATTATTAATTTTTCTGAACTTCAGTATTTTTCATCTGTGAACATGTAATACTAGAGTGTCATAAAGGTGATTTTCTATAAAGGTATGGTTTAGTTAATGCTTGATTTATAATGTGAAAGTTGAATTATAAACAGTTTCATGCTGTTTTCTAAGATCTGTTACTTCATATGTTTATGTTTATTTTATTTCATTTAGACTAATTGCAGCATTCAAGATGCATGATGATGAAATTACCATTTAATTGTGTCTGCATTTCTTCTGGAAAAGAAGTTTTGAATACACACAAATCTAGAACAAAGAGTCTCAACAAGTAGTTAACAAGATGGTTTCAGGCCCAAGATGACACATTTGGTGAATTTTAGAAGACCACCCCTCCCTTTGAAGTTTTTCTATGTTGCTGCACTGAGAATGCATCACTGTGTTCAGTCAGCTGGATAATGCACATGGAGTTTGGATGTTGCTGCCTGCTTTTGACTCTCATAACATATCTACTCACCTGAAAACCCAGGAATTTTCTGGGGTTGATATTCTGATACATGCTTCATCAAGCTTGGATCTTCTACCCTCTGAGGATGATTTGTTACAGCCTCTGGCTGCATGTACTTGTGGACGGAAGGTATCTGACAATGTCAGAGAAGTCTGTTAGAGTTTTGTCTGTAGATTCAAGGATTGGCATTTTTGCCCGAACAGACTGCTTATGTTTAGTAAAGAAAAAGGGAGGGGTGGGGAGAGAGATTGATGGTTATAGCCAATATTTGTCGTCCTCTTCTTGTCTAATAAAAGTATTTTTAGCCCTGGCTGGTGTGGCTCAGTGGATTGAGTGCCAGTCTGTGAACCAAAGGATTGCTAGTTTGATTCCCAGTCAGGGCATATGCTTGGGTTGTGGGTTGGGTCCCCGGTGGAGGGCATGCCAGAGGCAACAACACATTGATATTTCTCTCCCTCTCTTTCTCCCTCCCTTCCCCTCTCTCTAAAAGTAAAAAAAAAAAAAAATCTTTTATCTTTTTAAAAAAATATTTTATTGATTATGCTATTACAGTTGTCCCATTTCCCCCCTTTATTACCCTCTACACTGTGCACTCCCTCCCACCCACATTCCCCCCCATTCATGTCCATGGGTCATATATATAAGTTCTTTGACTTATGCATTTCCCATACTATTCTTGCCCTCCCCCTGTCTATTTTCTACTTACCATCTATGCTACTTATTCTCTGTACCTTTTCCCTCTCTCTCCCCATCCACTCCTCTGCTGATAACCCTCCAAGTGATTTTCATTTCTGTGATTCTGTTCCTGTTCTAGTTGTTTGCCTAGTTTGTTTTTGTTTAGGTTCAGTTGTTAATAACTGTGAATTTGTTGTCATTGTACTGTTAATAATTTTTTATCTTCCTTTTCTTAGATAAGTCCTTTTAACATTTCATAAAATAAGGGCTTGGTGATGATGAACTCCTTTAACTTGACCTTATCTGGGAAGCACTTTATCTGCCCTTCCATTCTAAATGATAGCTTTGCTGGATAGAGTAATCTTGGATGTAGGTCCTTGCCTTTCTTGACTTTGAATACTTTCCAGCCCCTTCGTGACTGCAAGGTTTCTTTTGAGAAATCAGCTGGAAGTCTTATGAGAACTCCTCTGTAGGTAACTGTCTCCTTTTCTCTTGCTGCTTTTAAGATTCTCTCTTTATCTTTAATCTTGGGCAACATAATTATGATGTGCCTTGGTGTATGGTTCCTTGGGTATAACTTCTTTGGGATTCTGTGAGCTTCCTGGACTTCCTGAAAGTCTATTTCCTTTGCCTGATTGAGGAAGATGTCCTTCATAATTTTTTCAAATAAGTTTTCAATTTCTTGCTTTTCCTCTTTTCCATCTGGCACCCCTATGATTTGGATGTTGGAATGTCTAAAGTTGTCCCAGATGTTCCTAGGCCTCTCATTTTTTGAATTCTTTTTTCTTCATTCTGTTCTGGTTGAATGTTTATTTCTTCCTTCTGCTCCAAACTCTTGATTTGAGTCCCAGTTTCCTTCCCTTCACTGTTGATTCCCTGTACATTTTCCTTTATTTCACTTTTCATAGGCTTCACTTCTTCCTGTATTTTGCGACCATCCTCAACCATTTCTGTGAGTATCCTGATTCCCAGTATTTTGAACTCTGCATCTGATAGGTTGGTTCTTTCTTCATTACTTAGTTGTATTTTTTCTGGAGCTTCGATCTGTCTCAGTATGCCTGTTACATAGTAAGGGGCCAAACCTTAGGTATTCACTAGGGTAGGGCAACCTACAGAGCTGTGTTGTGGCACTCTGTGTGGGGGAGGCATCTAAGAGGGGACAATGCCACTTGCTCTGCTCTTTGCTGGTTTTCAGTAACTTCCCCCTCTACCCACAATCAAATTGAGCCCTTCTGGTGCTGATTACTACATGGGTAGGCTTGTGTACATTCTAGGACCCTTTTGATCTCTCCAATGAACTCTCCTGTGAGGCTGGGAGTTTCTCCCGCTGCCGCCTCAACCCCCACAGGTGTTTTCAGTCAGAGGTTTGAGGCTTTATTTCTCCGTACTGAAATCCTGGGTTGTGCGGTCTGTCTTGCTCCCCAGTTATTCCTCCTGGTTTATCTGCACATGAATGTGGGATCACCCAGTCTGCAAGCCGCTGATGCTCTGTCTGCCAGCTGCCACCTTGCCCACCAACCTAGCCTTGCCTGCCCTGATCCTCCAGCTGCTGCCTTGCCTCGAGTCCTCCCTGCCTGGATGCCTGTCTCCGCCCTTCCTATGGGTCTGGATGAATATTTCTTTAACTCCTTGGTTGTCGGATTTCCATACAGTTTGACTTTCTGTCAGTTTTGGTTGTTTTTTGTTTTTAAGTTTGTTGTTGTCCTTTTGGTTGTGTGAGGAGGCACAACCTATGCCTCCATCTTGGCTGGAAGTCTAAACTCTTTTTTTAAGAAGGACAATTGGCTGACTGAAATAAAAATTTTTAGCTGAGCAATTGGCTGACTGAAATAAAAATTACCTTTTCAGCATCTCATGCAGCCAAGTATGGTCATGTGATTGGTCAGTGAGATATGACTAGAAATGATGGGTGCAGCTTTTGGTTCATGCCCCATACTCTTATCCACTGTTTGGAATGCAGATGAGGTAAGCCAACTTGGACCATGGGGATGCAAACATTTCCTTAGGGCAAGTAATTCCCAAACTTTTCTGCATGTTAGAATTACTTAGGGAGCTTTTAAAAATCCCAGTGCCCAGGTTATACCATGAGCCAATCAAATAAGAGGGTCTGGAGGTGGAGGCCAGACAGTAGTGTGTTTAAAAATCCCCAAGTGATTCAAATGTGCAGCAGAGTTGGGGAACTGCTATCTTGGGGATCTCAGAGCAGAATATTGAAGGAGCATATGTTGCTGACAGTACACCAATCCAGGACTACCTACAACAGGGCCATTATATGTCAGAGAACTAGACTTCTAGCTTGAATAAGCCTGTTATTAGGGGGTCATAGTTATAGCCACAGAATTACATACTAATAAAGGTGGGTCATTCTCATTAAAACTGATTGACTGTATTTTGTAGAATCATTTCGTTTACATGTTCTGCCTATTTTTTTAGTTATTATTTTTAAGTTACAGTTGACAATACTTTATATTAGTTTCAGGTATACAGCATAGTGGTTACACATTTATATAACTTTTGAAGTAATCCCCTCAATAAGTCTAGTGTCCACCTGGTACTATATATACTTATTATAGTAGTATTGACTATGTGCCTTATGCTGCACTTTATGTCCCTGTGACTAATTTGTAGCTACCAATTTGTGCTACACCTTCACCTTTTTAGCCTTCGTCTAAATCCCTTCACCTTTTTAGCCCAGTCCCTCAACCCTCCACCCCTCTAGCAACCCTCAGGTTTCTGTATCTATGAATCTGTTTTTATTTTGTTTGTTTCTTTATTTTGCTCTTTAGATTTCACATATAAGTGAAACTGTATGGTATTTGTCTTTCACTGACTGACATATTTCACTTAGCATGATACCCTCTAGGGCTCTCTATGTTGTCACAAATGGCCAAGTAATATTTTATTGTATATATGTAATACTTCTTTTTTTAAAAATTGTTTTATTACAGTTGTCCCAATTTTTCCCCCTTTGCCCTCCTCTGCCTAGTCCAACCCCGATCCCACAGTCAATCCCTACACTGTTGTTCATGTCCATGGGTCATTCATACGTATTTTTTGACTAATGCCTTCCCCTTCTTTACTCCATTCCCTGCTGCCTCCCTCCCCTCTGGCAGCTGTCACTGTTCCATGTTTCTGTGTCTCTGGTTCTATTTTGTTCATTAGTTAATTTTGTTCTTTTGAGTTGGTGTTTTGGGATTCTTAGAGTATAATGCCAGCAGTGGAAACACTGGGCTAAAATTTTTTAAAAATTGTTTTAATTTTTAATTTTTTGTGGAAATTCTATACTGTTTTCCACAGTGGCTACACCAGTCATATTCCCAACAGTACACTAGGGTTCCCTTTTCTCCACATCCTAGCCAGCACTTGCTGTTTGTTGATTTGTTAATGACAGCCATTCTGACCAGCATAAAGTGGTATCTCATTGTGGTTTTAATTTTCATCTCTCTAATGGCAGTCATGTTGAACATTTTTTCATGTGTCGATGGGCCATATGTATGTCTTCCTTTGCCCATTTTTAAATTGGATTGTCTGTCTTCCTGGTGTTGAGTCGTGTGAGTTCTTTATGTATTTTGAAGATTAACCCCCTGTCCAATGTATCATTGGCAAATATGTTCTGTACAATTGGTTCCCTTTTCATTTTGATGATGGTTTCTTTAGCTGTGCAGAGGCCTTTTAATTTGATGTAGTCTCATTTGTTTATTATTTCCTCTATTTCCCTTGCCCTAGGAGATATATTGGCAAAAATATGCTACGTGTGATATCTGAAATTCACTGCCTATATTTTCTGCTAGGAATTTCATGGTATCAAGACTTATATTTAAGTCTTTTATCCATTTTGAGTTTATTTTGGAGTATGGTGTAAGTTGGTAGTCTACTTTCATTGTCTTGCATGTACCTGTACAGTTTTCCAACACCATTTGTTGAAGAGACTGTTTTTTACTCCATTGTGTGCTTGTGCCCTCTTTGTCAAGTAATAATTAACCATAGAGACATGAGTTTATTTCTGGTTCTCTATTCTGCTCCATTGATCTGTGTGGTTCTGTTCTTATGCCAGTACCAGACTATTTTGATTGGCCTTGGAGTATACTTTGATATCAGGTATTGTGATACCTACAACTTTGTTCTTTCTCAAGATTGCTGAGATTTTTTGGAGTTTTTTTTATTCTATATAATTTTTTTAAGTTGTTATTTTTATTTATTTTAATTGTTGTTCAAGTACAGTTTTCTGTCTTTTACTCCCACGCCAGCCCACCCACTCAGCCCTCCCCGCCTCCCTCCCATTTCCACTCCCCGTTAGTTTTTGTCCATGTGTCCTTTATACTTGTTCCTGTAAACCCTTCCCCTTTTCCCCTGAAATTCCCTCCCCTCTCCCCTCTGGTCGTTGTCACCCTGTTCTATATTTCAGTGTCTTTGGTTATATTTTGCTTATTTGGTTGTTTTGTTGTTTAGGTTCCTGTT